TTGGAAAATGTTCTTGCTAATTTTGTTTATCATGAATATCCATTAGATGAACATAAATTTATCTTTTGTGATAGTGAAGGCAAAATGAATATAATTGCATGTACACCAAATTATGTTTGGTCACAAACTGAACAATCATGCATTTTACCTAATTAGATGAAAAAAAGACAAAATTAAATGTTTTCATTTTTCTGTAAAACGTTGTTGTCTGATTGGTGTGCATCTTAATTAAATTTAATTGTGAAAGAAATTTAATTTATCTATGAAGTATTCTCGTTCAATAGACAATATTTAGCAAATCTATACAATCAATTCATTTTTTTTTTCAATATTATCTATTACCTTTTATCTCTAGAAGAGCAGAATCTATCGTAGAAAAATGAAAACTATCTTCAATTATCAATATAAAGATTGTAGGTATTAAATTGAAAAGCTAAGTTCCTCAAATATCATATTTCAATTTTCGTGCATCTTTATCAGAGATATTTTGATCGAGTAAGATAATTTTTGTAGTTTTTACCAACTTTAGTAACTAATTAAATGAAGTAAGTGTCTAGCCTTTTAGTTGGTTTTAATCAAGTATCGTGTTCAAATTCAGTCAGAGCAAAACCTTCATAAGTAACGTCAGAAATTTCAATAAAATCAATACTACCATGTTCATCAATCCATTGAATTTGATCGTATGCTTCTTCTATTGTTAATCCATCAGTACTAAAATCAGCTGAATTTAGTTCAACATTGACAGCAAATATTTGAGGAACAATTGCTGTAATAGCATCAATGATTCGATATAAAAATGTCATTTTCTATCCTTTAGTATTACTCCATATTCATCATTTCGTGTATCTGGTTGTGACGATAGACAATAACTAATCAAATGAGCAAAATGGAAGATTCTTTAAATGCTTTGACAATTCTATTAGATGATTTGAATTCGCATGGCAAATTCATTTTGTGACATGATTGATCGATTCCATCTTCATCTAGATTAGTTTTTCCATGTCAACAATTACTAACTTATAGTTTTATAACGATGTCCCCAAGTGCTGAACAATAATACATGGTGAACGATAGTACTTGACAGTTTTTTTTTTTTTATTTTGCTTGAGGGACAATGTAGACTAATCTTGCACTAGATCTAATAAATATTAAATATATATTTATATTTATAACGCAGATAATATCAATCTATCTATAAATATTTGTTAGTAATTATAAAGAACCATTACTTGGGAATATGTGACGGTAATACAAATGTCCATTTCAAAGGAAAAATAGATTAATGCTATCGTTTTTTAAATACAGTACAGATTTTTATAATTTGTTTCTTGACGCTGTTTCCTTAATTGATTTTTTAGAAAAAGGTGCCAGAAAAAAATTGTAGTTATTATTGAAAGAAACAATAAATTAAATCTAAACATCTGAGCCATGCTCATTTTTGTAGATCTTTGGTCAGCGATTCGAATGGATCACTGAACATACTATATTTTATCGCAAACAATTGTATATTTCACAAAATATTGATGAAAAACGATAGTCACAAGTAAGAATCAAACAAAAGTGAATTCAATGATGTAAAGTAATACCTTGTTTACTTTGTTATTACGATGAAATAAAATATTTTTTTTATGAATGTAGGTTCATCATGTCTTTTAGAAACTTTATAGACCTATTCAGTTTCGTAATCCCTGCGGAATCATCGACTAATCCTTTTCTGAAGTGTCCTTCTTTCTCTCATTTCCTCTTTTGTTTCAAAAAATAATCTTGATGAAACTAGTTCAAAGTTGAGATCTAGGCAATATTAAATAGTTTTTTAAATATTTATCAACAGAAAAAATTCGAAGAATTAAGAATAATGAACTGGTCATATATATATATACATATATTGACATTAAATTATGTATCACTTATATCAATATATTATATTGTGAAGTGTGATTTAATTATATTCAAACTAAAAGCAATGAAGACAATTTTAGCTTATATATTACTTAAGTTACAATAAAATGTCTTGTTTCAGATTTCAAGGTTCAAAAAATAATTATGTTCATTTTTCTTGTTCATAAAAATGCCTACAGAGATTGTTTTTTGATGTCTATGGAGAAGTCATTCGTGCATGCATCAGAGAATGAATTAATGATAATGAATATTTTATCGACTTAAAATAACAAGTAACGTGTTGTTTTCTCTTAAAAGAAATGAAAATGGAGAATTTTTATATTTAAATAAAAGAAAATTATTTCATATAATTTGACATTCAAATGTACTTGTAGCACATATATATATTTAAATGAATAAATCCAGATAAATCGAACGGCAGTGACAATTTGTTTACCCATTACTTAATTGAATCTAGATTTTCTTTTATTCTTATATTATAATTGAATTGTTATAGTTTATCATGTAATAGTGATGCCATAATTTTGAATAGATGTCATTGACAAAAAAAAAAACAAGATACAATCCATTTGCAGGAAACCATTGAAAGTTAATGAATCATGCATCAAGAAACATTTTTGTGATGGAAGCACAATGAGATTTTCAAGTTTAGATAGAAAAAAAGTACATGTACTAAAATTATTTAACCTGTTATATTTATTACACAGTCTGTTTTTTATTAGGAACAGTCTTCCTAATACGAATGAATTCAATTACTCGCAAACTACCTCTAATGATTCATTTAATGTTTTATTTAATTAAAGAAGTTTTTATCATTCGATTTAGCAAATATTTCTTTAATTGATAATATAAAGAAAAAATTATCAATTTCTTTAAAAATTGCTTGAAAGGTCTTCGTGTCTCTGAAAAAGCTGTTTTAATTAGGAAAATTGCTTGTAAAGTTTAAATTTGATGCTTATTATCTTCCTTTTTTTCTTTGATGATTACAAACTAGCTTATATGTCATTTTATTCACACAATGAATGTCGTCTATTCTGTATTGATGTACTTAAATAATCTAAATATAATTAAAAACGAATGTCATGTCATCTGATAGGCATGTATACAGATTGAAGAAGATCTAATCTTTAATTGGACACTAGCACAGTGAATAAAAAGGTCAACTAATTTGAATTGATAATTTTGAAGAAAAACAACAGTAGTTAAATTAAGAATAAATTATTGTTGAAGACAAAATAAAATACATATCTAGTGTCATTTTTATGAAATGAAATTGACAGATCTAATTCTATGTAAAAAAACAATGTTTTTAAATTCTACACTAACAATTTATTGTTTATAATATATTTTCTAATTCAAGATTATTTAGTATATTTTTTTATTCAATAAATTTAGAAATACTTGATTTAATCTGAATATTCTTGTAATAAATTGCAGATCAATTATGAAAAATTTTTATAATATCGACAGATTTGTTCCAAGTTTACTTTAATATCGTATTTTCTCAACAGGTATTTGCTTTAGGTAATTAGCAGGTTCAATAATTTTTAGCATCTTCACAAAAGGATTTTTGAAGTTAAAACTTTGAAAGATTCTCTCATTACTCTTAAGTGAACATACAACGAAAATTTCTGAGACTATATTGGAAAAGAACACATAGTATTTCATCTACTTACAATAATTTCAGCTGGCTCAATCAGAACTAATTTTTTTGTCTAGAAAGTTTCACATTATCCATTAGATTCATAATTCTGCAAAAATAAATTGCATCTAGTGTCTACTTAGCAGTCATGTCATTTCTCCATGCAACAAAATTATAAAGTCAGATCTATAAACATCATGAAGTCTTATAAGCATGCCAAGTTTCTTTACTATTTATCTATATCTCAATTATTTGAAAAATTAAAATACAACTTTCAAAAATGAAGTGTTTCTAGATGTGATGGCATGTTTATCGAAAGTAGTTCAGTAGTAAAGATCGAAAACAACTTGCAAATAAGAAATAACGTGAATAAATATTAATATGATAACAAGTTGTACTCAGATATGTTGATATTGAAGCCAAGAAAAACAAAAATTCGATAACAGAATGAATGGCTTAACATCAAAAAAACTAAGTTACACAGTATTCTGTTATTTGTTTAATCTAATATCTGGACAGCAATCATTTAGTAAAGAAATATCTCTTTATGCAACATGAACTTCATCATGGTAAATTTGTTTTTTAGAATTGAAGTTGTCTCTTTTTATGGAGATTAATGTGCAAAAATTGTACATTTTGATTTTTAAGAACGATCCGACCATATTATATTCGGTTAATTTTGTTAAACAAGAGTTCATGATTATCTCTTCTAGGTGTTTTAGTGTTCATATTTTTAAATGGAAGCACGATCACCCAGGAAGAAGAATCTCAGACTTGGCTCGCGTCGGATAACTATTATAAATAGGTCATTTTCTGTCGAAAATTATCAGATGCTGTATCTGACGATTACCGACAACTGGATCCAATAACTTGGAAATGTCCAATATGCTTAGGATCCAATAGGACCATACAGATTTTACAGAAACACGCTAAGTTTTATTTTGCTCTATCCCTTCCTTCCTTATTATCGATGTGCATTCTCTCTCACTATCAATTGGCTAACAATTATGCAGCCTAAATGTACCTTGTTGTGCTGATTGTTACATTCAATTATTGAGCGACAAGTCTAAATAACGAAAGTAGATAGTCATTTTTTTTTTAAATTACATTTATATTGATATTTTATACGGCTGATCTTAATAAATATAAAAATGGGTGATGTGAATGTGTAGGAAATGGATATGGGTGTCTGTGGCGATATCGATGAATATAAGATCAGCATTTACACTGACCTCACACCCGCTTACAACACAAAAAAATGTTGAAACAAAAAAATAAACAGTATGGTCAATGAAAGGTGCCAACTGTTTTATTTATTTAGAAGCATCATGATCATTTGTTTTTCTGGCTTACATATATGTATATATAAAGAGAGAGAGAGAGAATAACAGTTAATAAAAGACAGCGCGTAAAAATGTTTGTTCAATCGTTATGCAAAATTCTGACCATAGAATCATAACTACTGATAGTCTCTTGGATATGGTGTATATTGCCACCATTCTGATTCTGGTAACTCATATGGATCTCTATCACAAACACGTATCATTATACCATAGCAAATGATATTATCGGTTATAAAGTTTTCATTATCTGCTGAATCAATTATCCATTCTATTTCGTCATTAGCGAAATGTTCATCAATACGAATATATTTTGGACACTTAAGAGTTTGAGATTTGATTTTGTCCGGTGTTAAAACTTCAGGATTTACGCGACATTGAAAAATCATTTGATAATATTTTCCTGGCTTCTGAGAATTTTTCCACGGTTTCGAATAACGGTAATGAGCACAATAAGTAATACTAGGAGATAGATAAACGACCATTTTGTTTTTTGAATGGCACCCTCTGCCGACTCGTAGTCCTGTGGCCAATATGCGGGCTGCATTTGTATGTGCTGTACCATGATATGCCATGCACCAATGTCCCCAACGTCGGTCAAACTCCTCTTTTGTATCAGCAACTTTGATTCCAAAACGACGCCAACCTAGTAATGAAAAAGCACACACGACCATCTCACTGAAGAGCTATTTCTGATCAATATGCAAGAAAAACAAACCTTGGGGACAAAAGTAAGGTTTTCCACCTCGTTTCAAGGGTTTAGTCCAATATGTACCTCCAAAACAATCTTCATAATATCGATTATACCGCTCATTCATTCTTTCTTGTTTTACACCTAAATCGAGTTCTCCTAATGTTATTGAGATAGTGTCAAAACCGCCAATGTCAGATATTCCGCCAGCTATTAGTTGTTGAAAAACTTGTTGTCCATATGGTGGATTTACAAAAACATCAACAACAACGCTGCCTCTTCGGATTGCCTCGATTTGAAAAGCATTTTCTGGTATATTGAATTGTTTTTGTATGGCCCAGGTTCAAGTTGGATATGTTGTTGGCGAGATCTTGAATCCACCAATCAAAATTTTCATTAAACCGAATACCAATGAACAATTTGTGAACTTAAATAGGAAAGAAAGTGAAATGTGTGTCTATTATCCTTTCATATAGAAAAATTATAAAAGATTTTAGAACCTTGCACAAACCTGTTAGATTGTCTACTTGCCGAATGATAACCGGTACGGTAACCGTTTTCCTTAATGATTTAAGCCCTTGATGTTTCTCAGTCAAACGTTTTTCTTCATTTTTCAATTTTTCACAGAATTCATCTGCATTTTGAGAGTTAATAGCTAATTTATTTAAAACACAGGCTAATTCGATTATCTGCGCTTGATCAGTAGCTAGATGGTGTGCTTGTTTTTCTTCGTGTATTTGTTGATATTTTTCAAACTGTTGCCGACGTTCTTCGCTTTGCTTTTCTAACCATCGACGAATTTTCTCTGGGATACTTTCAATATCACTTGATTCCAATACGGATATTATTTCTTTTCGATCTTCTTTTAATTGTTCAGAGTATTGGTGTTTAATCAGCTCGGAGTTTTCGATCAAGTCAGATCTCGTTGAGATTGTTGATTGTTGCATTGCATCTAATATTTCTGATGCTTCCATTTCTATTAAATGAGTAGTAGTCTTTTATATATTACCCTTTTGAGAACCAGTGTACTTTATGAAGCACTCTTTTCAGAAGTAGTTTTACAGAAAACTATGGAGCCTGATAAATGAGAGATCTCATTATGTTCGTTGTTCTACAATGAATCTGTGCTCTTAGATGTTACCTATGTCATAGGAGAAAACTATCTCCCGATATATTGCTGTATTTGCGTGCTATTCAAAAATCAAGAACGTAACAATATACATTTTAAATTTAGTGCACTAGTATTCAAAGAGTTATCACGATTCATTTAATATGTACTTGTTTGCAAAGCGAATATTTAATTACTTTACTATGTCAATCGCTCGCTATCATATTTCAACTAAAATAGTAGAAGATATTTTAGTATCTACTATAACAGGATTCATAGTACCTTGATCATATTGAATTATTTGCGAGAGTTATAGGACAACATGTATCTGATTATTTTATTCTTTTTTTTCAACGAATAGTCGATCTCAAATACAAGTAGGGTGTGGTTGTGGATGTGTATGAGGAGAAGACAGCACCCACACCTTCCTGTCTCTCTTCGATTTTATGCTTCCATACATTCTATTACCACTCAGCATTGAGACATGCCATCTCGCATTTATGATAGTTTTCAAGTGGAATAAGAGCAACTTATGCAGTATCACATCGGTGCGAGTATTTTAGTTCAACAGCACCTAATGTTAGTGTTTTTTCTACCACGATTCCACGCATTCCGAAGTAGTCCTAATAATTCATGTTGGTATCGATTACAAGCTTAGCGTAGTTGATGTCGGGATTCATGAAAAGAGAATATCTAAAGTGGAGAAGTAGAAAGCAGGAATTATTTCTTTTACAAATTTTTGATCACCATTTTCATATTAGATTTCACAAAACATTCTATCAATCATACATTGAAAAACGAATTTTTCATAAGAACAAAGGAAAAACCTGTTGGGTACTTCACCAATAATATTTTGGTAGAGTATTGATGGATATAAAGTCGTCGAAAGCTGCGAATCGGTGCTTATCGCTTATTTCTCAATATAGACCATGTTAGCTGTTCCCTCGAAATGATTACTCTTAAATATCCTTCTCGAACGCATTAAATTTACAGCATCACTTGTCAAATCAATCCTATAACTTTTGTTGCTGTCAGAGTCAAACACGTTGAAAGACTTTGTTCTATCACGTAGTGTTCCACCTGATAGACCTTTACGAATACGAATAAAGAGCGTAGTCATTGTACCGTTGTGTCTCGAAAAGAAAAATGTCTATAAGTCGAGTTCTACTCAATCAATTGGGGATAACATTTTTCATCTGCTTTCCTGATCTAAAAAGGATCATTCTATTCTCGAAAAATCAAATTTCTATCTACTTGAGATTTTGAGAAATCATGACAACAAATCCAGTACCTAGCTTCTAAAGTTATCTACCACAAGTCAACCGACATATTTTTCTTTGTTATTTCATTACGTTTTTTTTTGAAATTACGTTTTCAGAATATGTCGTTGGTTTCAGCTTTAGGCGAAGTTTTACGAACAAGAAATTATCTATAATAGAGGTCGACAAAATCTCATTTTTGTGTCGTGTGACAATAATGTCAATGGCGTTTCGCTTGAAGAAACTCCATTTGAACAAAGTTGGTTGGAAATCAAAGAGTAAATAGGAGAAAATAATTTGAGAAGTAAAAAGGTTTGTTTCATACAACTTGCTAAGACAAAAATTTGGTACATAATGAAAAAGATAATTTTGAAGCTAAATACAGGACGAATTTTTAAGTTTTGTTATTGCTATAACTCAATGAAAACTGAACTGTTTGACAACAAAATGTTGTGCTTTTTCCGGTTCATAGAATGGAACGATATCCCAAAAAATCAAACGAGATCTTTCTCCATTCGGAAGAAAATTTAGTTTTACTAACATAGTGTAGAGCAACATTTTTGAAGTAACATATAAATGCAAAAGTAACCAAACAAATGTCAGTGCCTATTTCTCTTTGATAGAAGAGTGTTGAAAGATAAGTTTTCGTATTAGAAGATCGAGAATTTTTCTCTCTTTTAAAGTGCATATAACTTGTTTTTATAACAGGCTCATAACAGAATAGAGAGGAATCCTTAAATAGAATCCACACTTTTCTATGAGAAGACTGTACAACATGTCGATCCTCATATCTCTTCGATAAATGGGTTCTGAAAAGAATATTTTTTTATCAGTTAATAGGAATATTTTCTTCTCTTTCAAGAAGTGTAGGATTCATATTTGTCACATATTAGTGAGTGAAACGAGACGAGAAAAAAACAGAAATATGTGCACAATAAATTAACAATTTTTATGTGAATTCGTTAAAAATATCTTGTAAATAATAGTTAAACACAACGACCGCATACAATTCGAAATAAAAACCCCTTGACAAATTCTTTTCAATGAATCCGTAAAGATGGAATTAATTGGCATTTAATAAGATGTTTTTGATGGGTTCATATAAACATTATCTGAAAGAGGAAAAAGTTTCCTATCAACTACTAGTCAGAGAAAATTCATTTCAAAACGTATTTTGCCAACGAGTTATAGGAAACAACATTTTGCACCGTTTTTCTGAACTTCACAAAAAATGTGGTGTTTTTTAAATATACTTCTCTTTTCTTTGACGTTCTTTCGGCCAAGAATTTGTTATAAAAATAAAATTTATGTGATTCGAAAGAGAAAAAAATTTTCTATCTTCTGCTGAAAAAAACCTTTTTTCCAGTACCCTACTATCGACGAGAAATAACTTCTGATATTTGTCCCATTACTTTTGCATCATATGTTATTTATCCACTAAGACTGATTGGTATATAAAAATAGCATACAGAAACAGCTCCAATACAGGAAAGTATTGAAAAAATATTATTTTTATACATAAGCGACGTTGCTCCATAAAATACAATACTTATTTTTGTTTGATTATTACATTTATTTTCATTGATATTTTTCCTCTAACAATATAAAAGCTGTGTTGCTCATTCACACATCGATAGTGACACCGATATTTTTCCATAATGACTCATTTTGTTTCATTCCCATCCTAGCTATTATTTTGCATACGACACCACAAGTATCTATCGGATATTCTCATGCAGTTTGACTGAGTCATATCACCTATACTGTTCTCTTTTCTACTTTCTTTTTTTCCTTTCATGTTAGTATTTGAAATGGGACAATAATTGTAAACCGCTGAGTAATAACTATATATACAACGCAAAAAAGCACAATGCATTCATTCTTCTAACTGATCACGAGTGAAACAACAACAATAACAAACACGTTGGTCGTACCAATGACAGCTGTAAAAACTCCTGTTATTCGCTTTAATGTTAATCAACAATGTCCTATTCAGTATGTTACTGTCTACGATGATCGTGCAGAAGTGACACGAATTCTACGACATCATTTCGATGTTGAAGGAACATATGACCTTGTGCTCGATGGTTTTTCAATATTTGTGAATGAAACATCGATGCATGTCAGTGGTGGAACGGGAAAAGCATGCACTATTCTCGAAGTCTCGCATCAAATACGACATGAAGATATCGCTCCGTCATCGGATTTGACATCTCTTGATAATCTTCAAAGTCAACTTGAAAACGTGGAAACTGACCTAAAGATGCATCAGCGGGAATTAACACGGCTCACAAAACAACGCGAATGGCTTGATGGACGTTCAAACAAATTAATGAACCAAGATGGACCTTGCACAACCAATGATATGGAAAATATACGGCAATTTCTGGAGTTCTATCACAATACACTATTGAAACTCGATGATGATACAGTTCGCGAAGAAGAGGAAATGAAGAAATTGAAATCTCGTCAAGAAGCTTTGAAAACTCAAATTGATCACCATGGTGCTGCAGCCCAAGCGAGTCGAAGAAAGATATATCCAGAAGTGACGATCACAGTTCATATCGCCAGTGGTGAACTTGATGTGGCACTCGAAGTTTCCTATTTGATCAGCAACTGTTCTTGGAGTGCCAGTTACGACCTTCGTGTCAGTAGTGCTGAAGCAAATCAACAGCAAACACAGTTAACGTATTATGGAATTATTGTAAGTATTCGAATTTCCATTGAATTTCAAAAGTGTGTCATGGATCTTGCTGATGTTTAGGTGAATAAAAGTCAAGAGAATTGGCTTGATGCAAATTTCTCGTTGTCAACTGCAAAACCATCTTTGGGTGGAACTCCACCAAAATTGAACACACTGAAAATTGATTATTACAAACCACTGGTCATTGATTCTAAGCAGATTCCGAAAACAGAATTAATTGATTCGATCGCTAGCACGACTTCAAAATTTGCAGGTATGCATGAGAGTACGCCTAAAGACCGCTGGAAAGATGCATTCAGGTCATTTCGTACTAAATCACCGCTCTCGTATGATCCGACTATTGAAGATAAAGATGCAGAATTCGATGAAACGAAAGTCAATATTCTCGCCTCTAAAACCGAAGCTAGTATGTCCAGTACCAGCTTTGTTATACCTCGTCGATCAACGATCGATTCCGATGTAAGCATTTCATCCATTGATGTCGAATATTTTTGTACTTTTTTATCGTTATTAGGGGAAACCACACAAGGTCACGATTGGTATTCTAGATCTTCCTTCAACATATACGTACACGGTTGTGCCGAAAATATCACCTCATGCATACCTGAAAGCGTCAACAGTGAACACTTCCGATAAACAACTTCTTGCTGGACCTGTATCTGTGTTTATGGATAATAATTTTGTCACACACAGCTCGATCGATAATGTTTGTGTTGGTGATACATTTGACCTTCCTTTGGGCACAGATGTCAATGTCAAAGTGGAATACAAACCGGTGAAGAAAATGGTTGACACACAAGGTCTCATCTCGAAAGTACATCACGAGATGCGTCATCATGAGACAAAGATTGTGAACATGAAATCAACCGAGATCACGGTGTTCGTCTACGAACAAGTACCTCT